AAAAAAAAAAACCAGAAAACACAAATCTGGGGAAAATGAAGAGACGTTAGATTTTTCTTCTACAAGCCTTCAAATTCTTTACCTATTGCTTTTGTTTTCCACTCTACCTCAGAAAATCCCCTCCCACAAACACACACTATTTTATTTTCTTCTTTTCCCAGTTTCATATTTTTCTGGCAAAACCTTCAATATCCTTATGTTCTTTTTGTTTACCATCTCCTTTTTGACAGCTTTGTTCATTTCAGTGTTATCAATCTGTTTCTTCCCCCTTCTAATTTACTCTAAGGCTCCATTACATATTGGTTCAAAAGTAAGTATCAAATATCAGCAGCTGCCATCTAAGTGTTTAACATGTTGAGGCATTAGGTTAAGGGGTTTAAACACATTATTACTTTTAATCTTCACAACTCTACTAAGTGAGTACTACTATCACCCCACTTTACATCTGAGGAAACTCTTGGTCAGGAGTTAAAAATCTTGCCCAAGGTCACAAACACAGTCACAAGTGAGTGACTCAAAATAAAACTTCTGCCTCTAGAACATACGTTTCTAATTAACATACTGCCTCCCCCAGCCATCAAACTGAAAATTAACCACCTTACCTAGAAATTTAGTATCAAATTCAAAAAATTACTGAAACTGGATTAGTTATTGCCTTGAACAGATTTAATGATACTTAATAACAGTTCAACTATAATGTTTGATTTGGAACATAAATCTTTAAGGTAATACCTTCCATGTCTCTACAGAAAAAATCTAACTCTACATCACGCTTTGTTAGAATTTGTGAGCATACAGGGAGAAGATGATGAACTATTTAACCTCATAGTGTGAAAAACTCTAAGAAATTCCCAAAAGAATCTCAGGGGTTTTTGTTTGTTTGTTTTTTGAGATAAAGTTTTGCTTTGCCATCCAAGCTACAGTGCAATGGTATGATCATAGTTCCATAAACCTCAAACTTCTGGGCTCAAGCCATCCTTCTGTTTCTGCCTCAGCTTCCCAAGTAGCTGAGACTACAGATATGCACCACTATGCTCAGATAATTCTTCCATTTTTTGAAGAAACAGGGTCTTGCTCTTCCTAAGGCTGGTTTCAAACTCCTGACTTCAAGTGATCCTCACACCTCAGCCTCCCAATGTGCTAAGATTACAGGCATGAGGGTGGGCACCTGTACTCAGCGGTTAGGGCACCGGCCACATGCATCGGGGCTGGTGGATTTGAATCCAGGCCGGGCTTGCTAAACAATAATGACAACAACAAAATGGCCAGGCATTGTGGCACCTGTAGTCCCAGCTAGTTGGGAGGCTAAGGCAAGAGAATCGCTTGACCCTAAGAGTTTGAGGTTGCTGTGAGCTATGACACCATGGGACTATACCCAGTGAGACTCTATCTCAGTAAAAAAAAAAAAAAAAAAAAAAAAATATATATATATACACACACACACACACACACACACACATATTTTACAGGAATGAGCCACTGTGCCCAGGCAAGAATCTCAGGTTTATACTGCCAAAATGCAGGACAGTGATGGAGTATGATATGAAGTCAAAGAACCATTTGTCTTCTACAGAATTTGTCCATATTATCTAAGTTGCTTAATTTTTTGGCATAAAGTTGTTCTTAGTATTCCTTTTCTTTTTTTTTTTTTTTTTTGTGACAGAGCC